CATATACACGACTATATGAAAAACTGGGGGAAAAAAAATCTTATCCATGGTACTGGGTAATGGGGATGACATTTACATTTTATTTTTAGTTTTGTCTTCTTGTGTATGCTTTTTAAAACTTCTACATTTTCCTTTCCCTTCATAAAGCGGCATCTTTTTTAATATTAGGGGAAATGTTACTTATTGTAGGAAAAAAAAAAAAAAAAAAGAAAATTTGTTTCCCAATTCAGGAGGATCAAACATAGAGGTAGCCAGGGGCACCAAGTCCAGCACAGAGACCATCCTGCAGTAGCATGTGACAGGAACAGGCACATAAACACAACTTCTGGGACTTCCCACTCTCCAGCGTTCTGCCTTTCTGCTGGCCTATCATTGATAGCTCTCTGTCATGCTCTTGGTCCATTTCCCTTCCATTCTCTTCTTGATTGACCATAATTATAGAAGGGTATTACCCATCATTTTCAAGATGGACACTTGTTCACCGTTTAACATCTAGGATATTGAGGTACCTCTTACAATCAGTGGCATGTTATAGGGGATGATAAATGAATGGAGAGAGATATTTATCAATTTTTACAAAAGGAAAGCTGGTCATTTTACAGTGGAAAAACCCAGCAGATGCCACCTTAACCAAGTGACTAAGGTTAATATAATGAGAGATAAAATATATCAACATCACATGTGTTCCAATATGATGACATCATTTCTCTGGTTTTTCTTGTCAAAAATGCATGATCTCAGTCTAATCATGAGAAAATATTTGACAAACCCACAGGGGGAGACATTCTATGAAATTACTGATCAGTATTTATCTAAAGTGCCATGGTCATGAAAGACAAGAAAAGACTGAGGAACTCTCACAATTAGAGGAGACTAAGGAGACATGACAAGTAAATGCTGTGTGAGATCCTGAACTGGATCCTGCAACAGAAAAGGGACATTATGGAGAAAATTGTTGAAATTCAAATAAGGTATCTAGTTTGCTTAAAAGTCTTGTATGAGTGCTGATTTTCTGGTTTTGATAACTATGCTATGTACGGTATGTAAGTTGTTGGCAATAGGGAAATCTAGGTGAAGAGTAAACAGGAACTCCCTGTAATATTTTTGTAGATTTTCTGTAAGTCCAAAATTATTTCAAAATAAAAAGTTTAAAAAGAGAGGCTGAACTATCAATACATGTTTGTTTGGGTACTAATTGTAATTCCATTTTTCTTTCAAAAGGTTTTAGAAATGTCCAAAATAGTATGACTTTTATCAGTCAAGGATGCTCACTTTTTAAAGGTCATAGAAGATAGAGATCCTTAAGTAAAATGTTATTTTCCTTGACTCTCAGGATGACAGGTTCTGCCTATGTGTCTTTATGGTGCAGGCAGACCTCTGTGATGGAGCTTATAAATGGTGCAAACTCTTGCATAATCAGGCGACCCTTGGGATTATGTTGCTAGGAGTCTAGCTTCTGGTAAGCTTTCCCTTAACAAACAGGGATGAATAAATATTCAGTCAAAAATAGTCAAATTTTAAATTAGTGAAAACTGCTGTGACCCCTGGTGCTCATACAGAACATACTTATAACTCGGGCCAATTTGACCTGCAAGAATAGACTTATATCCGTACGCCTATACTACAGATTTCACTTATTAAAATATTACTATGCTTGTGATGTTTGAAGACATAGTGTGAGTTGTTTCATGTGCATTCCTTACCCAGTTCCCATCTTTTAGGAATGTGTATGGGTTTACATGACTGTCCTCTGACTAGGCCTTTACCAGGAAATTCTTGTTACAAAACTACCCAAAGTGGTGAGTGGGATGGCAGATTGTGATGGCTGTTGTTCTGTCATAATGAAATAATTTATATCCTTCTTGGGTAACAGGTGGCTGCTATCCCGGTTAATACACACTACTTTAAGTATGGAAGGAAAGGTTCAAGACATCATGATATTGCTGAAGCAGAATAACTTGGCTATGAAAACTATCACAAAGATTGAATTAGTTTTAAAAATGATGATCTTTTGTTAAATCCAAAGGGACATTTACTAAAAATATCAACATAGATAAATGGCAAACTGTAATATCAAGAAATTGGCATAGAATGGATTGAGCAATACTTTGAAGAAAACTCAGAATAAATTGTTCCAAGCAGACGCAATTGAATTAAAAACAGCTACATACCAACATGACATGCGATTCTTCTATGTAGCTGGAAATTAATCTATTGGCTGCACTGTCCAGATTTCTGTCCAAAGATGGTACAACCTTCATCACTGAACAGTCAACATTCCTGCAGTGATGGGCATAGCACTTCAGCACAATGCACAATCAGCCATCCAGCTTACCCTTCTTATTTTCATAACATTCCCTCATAATGAGGTGAGTACAGAATACTGTACCTATTGTACCTACTATGAAGGCAAAGAACCATCACCTGGTAGAGTAGCAAGTGCTAATGGAATCCCTACAAAAACAAACAAAAAAACTGAAAAACAGAAGCCACAGCCCAAAACTCATCAAATGATTGCTCCAGTTATTTAACCACTCATGGAAGAAAAAATAGTACACAGATGAATTTCAATGGTGTTTCAATTATACAAACTCAAGATGGGTGGCAAATGCTGCAGAAAACATTTGAGGTTATGTTATTTGTGTATTATACTTATGATAGTAGTATACTCCACATAGGTGAATTACACTCAACTTGGTATAGCTTTCATACATGTTATAGATAAAAAATAATATAAAAGAGAACTACAAAGCTTTTGTGCAGACATTGAAACTCTGATGAATGTGCTATCTAAATGGCAAATTAAGTATTTGTTTAAAAGGCTTTGTATATTTGAAATACAGTGTTATGATTTTCATTAAAATGTGCAAATGTAAGGATTATGTAAATCTACTTTATCCAGTGTGACTGGTCATCAAGGTATTAACGTAATGCAAAAATTATTTTAAAAACACTGGATATAGTGAGTAGATAGCTTGTTTAAATAATTAAGTGGCTTATTAGTATTCATTGGCCATTATCTATTTAGTCTCTGAATTAGACATTTTCCAAGCTTTAAAGTGGTAGTGCAGCAGGCATTTGTAAACAGTCACTTTCCATATAGCTTTTCTTCAAAATGTTTAGTTTATGGCATTCTTTTGCTTTTAAATGGAAGCACCAACCTGAAGTATATCAATGATCAGGAAAATCACACATCTCCTTCCACATTATATGATGCCTAAAGAAAGACAGAATTTACAAAGCCTCGAAAGAACTCTATATCAGAGAGTAAACCATAAAAACAGTGATAATTAGCTTGAAGAATATTACACTTACGGCAACTGAATTTGGGGATGTTCATTTGGAACATGAGTTTGTAGTTTTAAATGATAAACCCTAACTGAATAGAACCTTTTTGAAGAACTCCTAAAACAAACACTTAGTTAATCGTAAGAAGATAACCTTTCATTTAACTTACTTTTATAGTGATACATGGTTTTTCATTTGTGGTATCTTATTGGAATCTCCACAGTAATCACAGAACTTGGGTGGAGAAGCTATTACCCATATCTTAGAGATGAAGTTTGTGAGATTAAGTAGCCTGAGGTCAGATACAGTAATGAGGCCAGGACTGGACCCCAGATCTCCTGAAACAATATATGTAAAATCCCTAGGGCTGTGCCTGACCATCTATATGAACTGGATGAAAGATGCCTCCTTTTCCTATCCCACCCGAGCAAGGTGCTCTTTTCCACCTCAAAATACTGCCTAGTCCTGTAGCAGTAGATTTAAACAGTACACAGAATAATTGTAGATGAAACTTGAATGACACCAAAATGAAGAAAACAAAATAGGCCCATTAGTTATAATATCAGCTGCAAACCAAAGCAATTCAGAGATTTTTAACGGTAGAAATTACCTTTAGCTTTACGATAAGTTTCCATTCTTAAAGTGGAATGGTCTGCAATAAAAGCTAGTAACCATGAAATAAGTCAAAATAACTGCTTTAGTAGTATATCGATCAAGAAAATGTTTTCTGAGGAAACTATCACATGAAGGAATACATCTCTATTAGCCAATGCAGCCATAAGTAAAAATGGTAATGAGGTAAAATTGGTCCTGATGAGGGTAAAACAATATGAAGAAATTGAAAAGGTTCTTGTTAAGCTTAATTCATTTTGACATATTTTGAAAAGAAATCTCAACTGCATTGTTGGAAATCTTATTAATTAACCCAGGAATTCGTTATCATTTTTTGCTTCTATGCTTTAATTTGTACTTAAGGATAAACTATGAATAAAACATGAAAACCAGTGAATTTTCTTCTTCTGCAATCATATATGTCCTATTCTATATAATACCTCATCTGCCCTCATATTTTGTTTATACTCTAGTACATAATATTTGGATTTGGTGACCTTGGCAATAGGACTTTCATTACAAAAAGTACTCACAAATCTGAAACTGATCAATCAGGTGTTCAGGGAAAAAATTAAGAGAACCTAGTTTTGTAGCAGTATGTTTACAAAATATAAATATACTTTGACTAAAAAACTTCCAAATGCCATCATTTTCCTCCTAAACGGTGATACTTTCGCCTTACACTTTCTCAGTCTGACTTTAATTATCTTCTGACAGCTGACTGATCCCTGCCAAGTGCAAGTATGGATAATGAGCTATAACTCAGTAAAGGGCTTCTCTAGGTTATATGAGGATTATGATCACTGTATTCAAATTCTAAATCAAGTACAAAAAATGTAAACTATAACAAGGCTGCAATCCCTCATGCCTACCGAAATTCTTTAATTTTGACTTTTTAAGTTCATCTATTTTGATAAGTAGGTTTTAGTAGAGTGAGCTGTAGACTGGCTTAGTTCTACAAAGTCTATATCCTATCTTATAAAACAAGCAAAACTTACCACTTTCATGCTATTGTTCATTTTACTCATTTCAAAGCACATCATATTTCAAAAACATATAGATTAGCAAATTTAAATTATGTGCATTCAGATGGGACTCACCTTTAGAGAATCAAAACAGGCCACCACACGACCATTTTCCACGTGGCAATCTCTTGGAGGATGGGCAAACTTGCAATCTGCATCAGCTCGAGAGCAAGTTCCTCTCTGAAATTCTCTACAGACTTCTAAAGTCAGCCACTTGGTATCACGAATCAGGGCAACATTGACAGCCGTCATACTGAAAGCAAAATTAATACCAAGTGCACCCTCTTTAGGACAATATTACTGTGAATTGTTAAAGGATTAAAGATGAATTCAAGGTAAATGTGAAGAGATAACAGGTTGCTTTGGTGAAATGTCAATTTGTTAGCACTTAGGTTTTCATTTAAGTCAAATCCAGTCTAGTCAAACAAAAAGCCAATCTTAAAATTAAAATTGTATTGGAATAACTAAAAATCAAATTAGAGACCAACTCCTAAGAAGGCAACTGTAAAGGTTAAGAAATTGATTGTTTTATTTTGCTCCTTTACCAAATTTACTTCAAATAATTGGCAGACTTTCAAAAGAATTCTGTGCTCTCCAGATGATGTTTTCAATTATTCTCGCAAAAAGCATATGCTGCTGGCTGCCCTTCAATTTGTGGAATGGTCTCAGGTTGGGGGGAGAAAAGCTTTTCTATTTCTTAGCTTTAAAGAATAAGATTGGGAAGGATGTTACAACCTTAAAAAAAAAGTTTTGTTGCAAATCAAGAAGAGGGAGAATGACTAAGAAAACTGAGAATCACAGAAAAAAAAACGAAAAGAAATGGAAAAGTTGCTGACAGTCACCTACAAGCACACCAGGATTTTTTTTTGGGGGGGGAGCGGGTGGGAAGGGTGTGGCAGGGAGAGGGGTTTATATAGAAACAGTTCTAACGTAGAATCCAAGCAGCAGAGTTTCAGAAAACGCACTTTTCAGAACCTGCAAGAAAAAATAAATAAAATTAGCTAAAATAATACAATGCTTCCGTTTCAAACTCTGGATTTGGAAAAGAAGTCACCATATCCTATTTAAAACAGGAAGCATCTAGATGCAGACAGTGCAACACAGTGCAGTCAGCTATTGTCAATAAAAAGGACATTTCCTAGTGTAAAACTGTGCCTATACAAGGAAGCAACTGCTTAGATTTACTGTTGTACTACAAGACTAGGCAGCAACCCAAACTTTAATTTTTTAAAAAACGATTGTTTCTTTTTGATGTGTTTAGGGTAGAAATTCATTCAGGGATCTACTGTGCAGAAAATGCCAGTTTGACACGACAGTCCCTTATGTATTCACGATCCACCGTGTCTCTCCAATTTTTAGAGGCTACCAAAGACCTGTCTTTAAATTGGCTTTACTATGGTCGATTGAAAGCTTGATTATCTGTTCTCAAAATTTGGAAAACAGGAATTGCTAAGATAACTTAAGTCGTTCTAAGAGGTAACTTGTGAGTGTGTTTAAAATTTAATTGTTGATAATCACATAAAACAGTCACGACACAACCGGCTAGAGACTCACTGCCTATGAGGTAGAGACCTCACTGCCTGGAGGGTGGAAATGTAAAATGTGCTTCAGATAAAGAAAAACTCTTTGAAAAGATACTGCATTTTCTGTATATGCTCTCTTAGTCTCAATGAAGGGAAATGAGAGGAACTCTGAATAAGGTTTCAGCATATGAGAGACACAAAGCACTGTTCCGTAATTCATTAATTACTGTGCAGCTTCAAGGTCTGCAGTTTATCCCAGTGTCAACCAGCAATAATTCCGAGCAACTCAGTTGAGAAGATACATGAAAGGTTAATTTACTGGCATTATGCCATAAACACATACTAAAATAACACTAAAACAAAAGTAAGCTCTGAGTATCAGAAAAATCAACTAATTGTTAACTCCATCAAAAAGTAGAATTAGGGCCGGCCGGGTGGCGCACTGCTACAGTGCGCCGCTTGGGAGCGTGGTGGCGCTCCCGCCGAGGGTTCGGATCCCACATACAGACCGGCCGCTCACTGGCTGAGCGAGGTGTGGGCGCAACACCGAGGGTTGCAATCCGTTGCCGGTCACGAAAAAAAGACAAAAAGGAAAAAAAAAAAAGTAGAATTAAAGCTTTTGAAAATATTTCATTTATTGTTTTGAACATTTTCAATAATTTGTCAGAATCTGAATTTGCTATTTGTCTTTTCTGTATTCAAGATAAAATTCATTATCACCTGATTTTTCAAGTATTATTGAGAGATTAAGTACCTAGGAAATTCTAGTGAGCTTATCTATTCAAGAGCAAAACATGTCTTTCTCTGAGTCATTCTTCATGGAAATCTTTCTAAAACATACTATATGTAGCTTTGCCTTCTTAAAAATAGTGAACATATACAATACACTTTTTTTAGTTATAGACTCCCTAGAAAAGAGGTTCTTGAACGCTATCACCACAAAGAAGTGATAAATGCTTAGGTGATGGATATACTGACTATGCAGAGGGGATCATTATACAGCATATGCATGCATTGAAATAACATGCTGTACCCCATAAATATGTACAATTAAAAATAATATATATATATATATATTTTTTTTCTCACATCATTTGGTCTCTGGTTAAAGATATGGAGTCATTAAGTCCTGGGAAGTATTATAGTTTTCTTCCCTCAGTGACAGACTGTAAATTTTCACTGCTACTCCCATCTCTCTTACTGCCACAATATCTGCCATAGTAAATTTTTCAGTTCCCTTCTGGAAACCCTAATAGCTAATCATGACTGTTGAGTAAGAGTTAGTTACCCACTGCATGAGAGGCCTAAGCAGCAAAGGGGCAGGGCTTTCCTGCAGAAATTCTATGACTGCTCTTACTGTTTTGGGGGCCCTTGAACACGCAGGGTCAGGTTCTAGAGAGTTAAGGTTGTCAGTTAAGGTTGGTCTCTAGAAAAATATTAGTTTTTTTTTTAAAAAATAGCGTGATGGGGAAATGCAAATCAAAATCACGTGATATCACTTCACACCCACTAGGATGGCTATAATAAAAAAGACAGAGAAATTGGAACCCTCATACATTGTGGCGGGAATGTAAAATAGTGCAGGTACTGTGGTAAAACAGTCTGACAGTTCCTCAAAATGTTAAACAGGATTACCATATGACCTAGCACTTCCATGCCTCAGTATATAGGCAAAATAATTGAAAACAGTTTTTCAAACAAATCCTTGTACAGGAATGTTCATAGCAGCACTATTTACAATAGCCAAAAGATGGTAACAACCCAAGTGTCCACCAACAGATTAATGGATAAACAAAAAAATGTGGTATAGCCACACAATGGAGTATTATCCCACTATTAAAAGGAATGAAGTACTGATACATGCTACAACATGGATGGACCTCAAATACATTATGTTAAGTAAAAGAAGAGAGTCACAAAAGGCCACCTATTGTATGATGTCATTTATATGAAATATCCAGAATAGCCAAATCCACATAAACAGAAAGTAGATTAGTAGTTGCCAGGGGTGGGGTGAGGGGAGAAGGAGGAGTGACTGCTTAATAAGTATGGGGTCTCCTTTGGGGGTGATGAAAATGTTCTGGAATTAGTGGTGATGTTTGCACATTTTTTTTTAGTATATGATACTAAAACTCATACACCAAATTGTACACTTTAAATGGATAGTACATGAATTACTTTCTTTTTCTTTTTTTCTTTGTTTTGGCCTGTAACTTCTAATGGGACCCTGGTCAATTCCTCAAAGCAGTTCCAGCCAGTACATGTCTTCCTTAAGACTGGAACTATTTCAGGGGCACGGGCTCCAAAGGAACTAGATGCAACAAAAAGGAGCTGGTGTTAGGATGGGAGAAGTTCTCAGCTCTGCAGTTCCGACTATGTATAAAAGACAGGGAGAGGCGCCAGTTTTCCCTGTATTCTTAAGAAGATCCACTTTGTTTAGGGGACAGCTTTATCTTCACTACCTTAGACTTGAGTAATAGGAATACAGTTTTGCTTTTTATGATTTATAGTCCTCTAATGCAGAACATAAAAAGTTACCATTTCTTAGTGCACTTGTACATTGTTGTACATATAGTTTACAAGGGCTTGTATTTCGTTGATCTTTGGGTCTCTCAAAAATACTCTAAAGCATGAGTGATAACCCCAAAATGCCAATGAAAGCGCAATGAAGGTCATAGAGGTTAAATTACTTATTCGAAGTTACAGAGCCATGACTCTAGGCAAGATCTTCTGACTCCATATCTCATGCATAGATCCCAGCAGAGAAAATGTAGTAGAGATCATTTCTTATCTCCCTTGGGAATCGTAAACAAGGTAAGCCAGTCATTTTTGTAGAATATTTGTGACTCTTTCTCAAAATTACATTAATGCCTGATGTGTCACCAATTTCATAATATCCCTGAGGTGTGCTGGGCAGAATATATCCAGCATCTACTATGTGCCAGGCACTGTTCTAGATACTGAACAAGACTGGTAAGGTCCGTAGCCTTGTGGAACTTCGTTCATTTCAATGGAGAAATGACCTAAGGCACAGAGAAGTGAAATGATTATTAGTTTATGAAGGGCTGAAAGTCGACATTAGGCATTCTGACTTCAACACAAGCCTCTAATTCACCCCGAATGGTACACAAAGCACAACGACTTAAGAATACTCTTAAACACTCAAACACTATTGCATAGAAGTGAGTCACTGAGAGGAATACCTCAGAATTACTCACACTAAGTCTTATTGCTCCCCAGATTCTCCTTAAGAGTCGGTACGACTGTTCTTGTCTCACAGATGGCGAAATGGAGGTGAAGAAAGATTAAGTAATTTAACTTGCACAACTTCATGTAACTAGTAGATGATCGAGCCACAGTTCAAACTCAGGCAGTCTGATTCCAGAACCCACTCTCTTAGCCATGCCACAATACTGTGTCTCTCTTACGGCATGTACCACATTCTTCCTCATTCTAGCTGGCTGGGCCCCTTAACTTTTATCCCTTACTAGACTGTAAACTCCTTGAGAGTAGAGATCATGTCTTAGCTTTGCTGGCTGTATCTTGTCATTGGAGGTTAGAGTGTTATAGCAATCCCCAGGATTCCTATTTTGAAAGGTATAAGGATTACACGGTAATTTAAAATGAACCCTTCTGTCTTACAATGCTAGAAAGTTTTGTCAGTTGAGCACCCTCTTAAGCTGGCTGAGGTTTGGCTACTTCTTTCAGTTTTGAATCCACTGGACCTGTAAAGTTGAGTATAATTTCTCACAATTCTAGCCTTAAAATTGGGATGATAATACCTGGGATTCTTCATACATAGTACATTCAATCTCCATAAAGAATGGACTATTTGTAGGTGGAGCACAGAGGATTTTTAGGGTAGCAAAACTATTCTATATGACACTGTGATGGTGAATACATGACCTTTTGCATTAGGCAAAACCCATAGAACTATACAATACAAAGAAGGAACCCTAATATAAAATTAAGTTAATAATAATATAGCAATATTGGTTCATAATTGTAACAAATGTACACACTAATGTAAGATGTCAGTAATAGGAGAAAGTGTATATGTGGGT